CCATCTTCTTGAGGACAGAAACTGTACGCCATTTTTAAATTTTTCAATATTTCCTGACACATATTTGATTCCTTATCTTTTTGCCTTTCAAAGACCTGCTTCCCTTTGAGGAGCCCTATTATCTCCTCCATAGTTACCCCTACTCTCCCTAACCCCCACCCCTGCATGATCCCATTATACAGGACTTTCTTCTCAGCTAGAAGTCATGGCTAGAGAGTAATCCAATAAACTCTGTGTGAAGACGTTAGCCTGTGACAGCCACTGCTGCATTTCCTCTCTCTGGCAAATGTGTAAGGGTGCAAGGGGACTCATTTAACACCAAATAAAACCTTTAAGAACCAAAGTAGTAAGTTGCTGATAAAATTCCAGAGACCTGGGGAAGAAGTAGAGAGGAAGGGAGATGTTTTTGAGCAGGGGTTCTATTGATCATCCCTTACACCTAACTATTCAGGCTGTTACTGATTCTGTATATTTCTGACACTGAGCTTCCCTAAGGAGTTGTGAGCATGTTCCCTCAACCTTCATCTTGAATCAGTTTGGAATTGTCTGGGGGTGAACAGCCAGCATGAGGTGTTTGAACGTCTGTGCTTCTCAGTCTCCCCTGAAACACTGCCCGTCTCTTGGACATTTCACTCCTAATGAGATGATTCCTCACTGGAGGCAGGGGTTGTGAGCCAACTCTGTCAGTCTCCTTGGCATCTTCTAAGTCACTGCAGTTCTACAAGAAGGTAAGGAAAGACATAAATCAATAAAGACTTAGATTTAATATTCTTGCAATTCCCAATCCTGATACTGATGCTGAGCAGTATAAAGTCGTAGGGAAGGCTATGAAGACAGGACTGGGGCTCTAAGCAACTTCCCTGTTAATAAACTAGAAATGAGAAATCTTTTAACATCTCTGAATCTCCATTGGAAACTACCAGATGGAATAATGAACAGAGGTCCTATGTATCTAGTATACAAGAAAGTCATGAAGATGAAATGGGATACTAAATGTAAAAATGTTTTGAAAGCATTAAATACCATACAAAATTATGAATTTTAATCTTTTCCTTTGCAAAACATATGATGAAATAGATAACTGCAAAAAGCACTTGAAATATTTTTCAATTCTCTTTTGTGTCAAAGACTGATAGTTTTATCAGTATTAATTTTCACATTGTTTTTTTTTTCATAATAGAACCCTCCTCCCATTTATCAAGGCACATGGCAACCAATAATGAAGACATTTCTTGGCTTCCTTTGCGTTTAGTTGTAGCTAATCACTAGGTTCTAGCCAGTGAGAGATGAATGGAAGTGATACCTGCTACTTCCTTCCATGTCCTCTCTGCTGTCTGAAATACAAATGAGATGGCAGGAGCCTCAGCAGTCACTTCGGACTATGAGGATGGAAGGCACATGTTAGTAAGAAAGAGCAACAGGAAGGGGGCCTGGGCTCCTTTAATGTCACTCACCAGAGCTATCCAACCAGTTTGCCTTTTAAATGAGAGGACAATGGCTTTGATCTCATTGAAGTCAATTATTTTGAATTTCTCTCTTAAAGTAGCCAAATAAGAATCTTATCCTGTGGATTTAATATTTGTTTTCTGATGATCTATGCTCATCTCCTTGCCAGAGCTACCTCAAGTAGACTTTCTTCCCCATATAAATACTATCTCTACTCAGACTTTTGAACAAGTCCTAATATCAAGTCAACAAACCCTTGCTTGATTCAACTGTGACAAAGTAACCTCCTTGAGATGATAAGAAACACATAGCAGGGCAGCCTGGGTGGCTCAGCACTTTAAGTGCCTGCCTTCTGCCCAGGGCATGATCCTGAAGTCCCAGGATCGAGTCCCACGTCAGACTCCCTGCATGGAGCCTGCTCCTCCCTCTGCCTGTGTCTCTGCCTCTCTCTCTGTGTGTGTGTGTCTATCATGAATAAATAAATAAAATATTTTAAAAAAAAGGAAACACATAGCATACATGATATCCTTAGCTGTTGCCCAACACTGATTGCTAATGTTGTTAGTTATTAGAAGGAGTATCCAAAGAGTTCTCAGGGCAGATTTTCTCTGGTTACCAAGAGTAGACTGCCAAAAAAAAAAATCAGATGGAGACAGAGGAGATAGTAGGCCCTTTAGTATGATAACTTAAGCACACACACAAACATGCACACAAGTCCCATTCCAATCTGGGACTGCCCTTGTCAAGAGAAGGGAAGGAATGTCTACCTGGGAGTTGGAGTCAGTAGGATGTGGAAGTCCCTCTTGGGCTTTTAACACCAATGTATCAGGAATTGATTTGGTTTTGGATCTTAAAGCTGACTCCCCATGGATCCCAAGGCCCAGAAGTCTTCTGTTGGCATCCCTTCTCTGAGAGTCACTCAGCATGTAGGTGTGCAGTCAATTTTTGAAGAACAAACTGTGTCCCTACCTCTTCATTTCTATCAACATAGGACCCCAGGGATATGACAAGCGTGCAGCTTTAGAATGAAATGATATGAGGGTGGAAGCCCATGTCAGTCTTTTTAATTTGCTCAGCACTGGCCTCGGGCCAACACAAAGAGATGGTTTCTCCTCTGAACATCCTGATATCTGGTCTCAAGTGGAGCACCATACATCACGCCTTCAGCGGCAGGCTGTGGAGAGCCTTTTGATATAAATCCCGAGATGCCTAAGGAACAGTGTGAAGTTAGCAGAGGCTGCCTCCAAGTCTCAGCTATGCATGAATTCCCTGCCAAAAATTTAAAGTGAGTTTAAAAGAAACAATCTGAATGCTTTCTAACTTGTTTTGATTTTCTACATGACAAAACACTGGATTGTTATTGTGTGTGCGTGTGTGTGCGCGTGTGTGTATGTGTGTGTCACAGTGGCAGACTGAAGGATAATTTGCAGCTCTGCCATTCTAGGCAGAACATTAGATCTTAACATCGAAATGCAAAGAGAGAGAGAGAGAGAGAGAGAGAGAGCGCTGCTCATTAATTGTAGCCTTAATCGTCTTCCCTCTCTATCTCAGGAACAAATTGTCAGTAAGGGAAAAGCTAATATTTTGTGAGTCTAATTTCTACCAGCTAGCAAGCAATATTTACTTGGTCCCTTTAGTATGTATGTCTCGAAAAGTGTAAGCGCCTAAAAAGTAATCAATCTCTCAGCTTGTTGGTGGGTCAGGGATGTGGAGAGGGCTGGACTCACCCAAGGCAGCATGGCTCTGGGTCACTGCCGGCTTGGTGCTGTTGCAGCTGTACCACACACGTGGGTTAGAGACCAATCCTTCAGGGTTATAATAGCTGGCTTCTTGCATGATTGGCAGGAAGCTTTTATCCCACATGGAAAACATGATGGAGTAGAAAGAGCTTGCACTCTGCAGTCTGCCAGGCCTGGCATACAATCCAGGAGGAAGCTACTTATTGTCTGTGGGTTTCACTTTTCTTATCTACGTAATTGGGCCTAATAATATCTACCTTGTTGTGAACAGATTTAAAGTATGAATAGTCTCCCACAGTAACTGACACAAGGGAGGTCCCCAATAATGCCTTCCCTCACATGGCAGATGAAACCAAGGGTAGTGAGAGAAGCATCAAAGCCGCTTCTCCAAATCTCTCTGATGGAGACACTGGGCTCCCCTCTGCGCAGCCAGGCACTCTATGAATGCTTGTGGGTTGATTGACTCTCAACCCCAGAGAGAGTATTCTGGAGGCTGAGACGTGGCTTATGTAAAGCTGGCTTAAACATCAAACATGCTAGATATCAATGAAATAGGCTTTTCAATCTGATTTAGGGGTTTCAGTCATTTTGCCTTGAGCTCCTTGAAAGGATTGATCAGATCAATGTTGTGAAACTTTCTACCCACTCTGATCCAGCTACTGAATGCCAGGCAAGGGCTTTCTATTCCCTTTTCCATACTTCTCCCCTTATTATTCGATGAACTTTGTGTTATTGTAGTTGTGACTGAGAAAATTTGAAAATAAGAAGCAATTGGCAATGCAGCACATTTTCCCTTCCTGCTTTATACACTCCAGCCAAGCTGCCAGCTACAGCCACAGCCTAACAACAGGTGAAGATTCCGTGGGTAGAAGAAAGTTACCAGGCTGGAGATACTCAAGAGGTTGGGAGGTAGAGTCTGTCTAAACTCCTGGGACAACCAGCCCACTGAGTTCCTCTGTGTCTCCTGGCCTAAACCGGCTATCATTTATTTAGTGACCTTAAAGATCTTTTGCACTTGGGCTAGCTAAGCTCCTAATTTTTGGGCCAAATTTGTTTTAAACATCTTTGCCTCTGTGACAACAGAATTTCAAACTTGTCAGTACCATATCAAAGATGATGCCTGCTCCAAGGAGGTAAAATGCAAACATTCCTGAAAAAAACTAAAGTTCTGAAGCCTGTTTGGAGATTTGAGACGTCATTTAGTTATCCTCCTGCTTTTCTCCCCCCTTTCATTTATTAGTCAGTTCTTTTCGAATGAAAATAAAATCGATACAGTGTGATCTCCTTAGGCATTAGTTAATAAGCATATTTTCTCCTAAATGGTAGGGACCAACACTCATTTCTCAGGGGCCTGGCACATCTGTCCTGGTTCCACTAGCTGTTCCCTAAAAGATAGGGAGAGGAAGCGTGGCTCCGGGCTAAGACGTAGGGGCTTTGTGGGGTGCAAGTCTCCAGTGATGGCCAAGAGTAGGGTAATCTTGTTTAAAAAACAACCGCAACAACAAAACACTGTTACTTAGGATTTAAACTACATTCAAACAGGGTTTAAGACGAGAGCCAACAGCCAAGTGAGGGTTGGCGTAAAACCTCATCTAAGGGCTGGAAGGGACTTCTCTCTCTCTCTCTCTCTCTCTCTGGATAGACCAGTATTTCCATTACAGAGACAGTGTGAAACAGACCAGTTTTAGCAGAACATCCAAGCCATAGTCTGGCTTTTTATGTGTGCCTCTGTGGGTTCCCATGGTCCTGCAAAGGATATTTTCAACAATTGTTTCCTTTCTGGTGCTTCTCTCCTTGCCCTCCTAAGGATGTCTCTCTTGGATTCATTCCTACCCTACTTAATATCACAGATTGAACAATGTCAGGGAAAAAAAAGAAGACAGATCATCTCCAGCTGGATAAAGATGAAGACAAAGAGGAAGCAGGTGTCCAAATCAAGCCACATACAGCCAGATGTCCTCAGAATGGCCCATCGTCCTCCAAGGTAACCAGCGCCACAGAAGGTCAGTGCACCTGCTCGTCCTTCCCCTCCTGAGGAAGGAGATGGCAGGGGGTCACCATCTCACCACCTGGCTGTTGTAGTCCTCAGTGACTGCCCTCTCCGTGTTCCCATCCTCTTTGGGCCACCGGTGGCCCCTATGCTCCCGCTGCAGCCTGCGCTCCTCCCGCCTCTTTTGCCGGTCCCTCTGGTGTTCTAGCTGCTTGGTGTGGTGGTAGCGCTGCTGGAAGAGATCTTTCGCGTACTCGTAAAGCTGCACATCCAGGAAGTTGAGCTCCTCGATGTGCTGGCGGGCGCCCTCGTTGATGTCCACGTTGGAAGCCCGCGTGATGTTGAACTGCGTGAATGGGGAGATAAACTTGAGGTTGAATGTCCTCTCGAAGAGAAACTGTGTCTTCCTCTGGAATTCCGTGAGCCCGAAGAAGGCCATGTTCTTCAGGTTGTTCTTGGCACTCTGCAGCAGGATGGTGTTCCTCTCGCTCTCATTCATGAATGTCAGGTTGTAGCAGCCCACCAGGCTGAGGTCGGCCAGCATGCGCACCTGCCGGTTGTTGGCCAGGTTGTAGGGACAGTCCATGAACTCCCGCAAGCTGACCCCAGACCAGTCGTCCCCGGGGTAGCAGGTAGGCAGCTCATCCGGGGTGGGGCTTCTCCCATCACACATGTGGAGGGAGGTTTTCCACGTGGCCCCCCTCTGGACGTGTTTCCACTCGCTCAGGTATCGTGACACCGGATCCCGTAACATGGTGATGTAATAGAAATTCCTGGAAGAAATGAGAAGGAAGAGCATCAGTCTCTGACAACTATGGCTCTGGGATTCTCTACCTCCATAGTGTTTATATCAGCACTGAGTCAACGGGCTCTTCTGCCAAATGCTCCCGCGAGAGTGGTTCCCTGGATTTGTACCTATCAGGCAAAATGTTCCATATGTGCATATTTTCATAAACATGCATGGACCAGTTTTCAACACCATTTGTTGGGTGTTTCCTCGCTGCTCCAGTGTGGGGAGAGATGCAGTGGGGGGAAATAGATGATTCGTTCATTCAGGAGTTTACTCGCTGATAAATTGCTCCTGGAAATAATAATACCTTACGTTAAGAAAACACACCATGATTTTTGAAAGTTATTCCTCCACCAATATTTTATTTGTAGCAGATGTGGGACTGTGTGATAGGGAAACATGCAAGGAGGCGTAGTGATTTATCCAAGGTTCTGGGACTGAAGAGGGCAAACCTGGAAGCCAAGGCTCCCTAGTCTTTTCCATTTACACTGCTATTCTGGATTACAAGGTAGGTGGAGCTGGAGGGAGGATGTGTTGTGTGTGGAGATCAATATTTACTGGGCACCTACCATGTCCTGGGAACTGTGAGAGATGCCTTATGATACCAACACCAATAATCTTCAACACAACTTCGTGAATGGGTTTATTGTTACTTTTTTTTTCTTTTAAAGCTGAGAACCTAGAGACTGAGAAAGGTGAAAATATAGCCCAAGATCCTAGAACAAATTAATACTTGAACTGCAATGGAGCCTAAGTCTATTGATTTTAATGCCTCTGTCTTTTCCTGTGCAGCATATTGATATTTTAAAAACAAAAATACAAGTAGTATTTACTGAATGCCTATCGTCAGGTACTGTGGTTATTATAATCACAGGTCTTACCTAATGGCATCAGATGGAACATTGAGAAGAAATATATTTTTTTAATGGTTAGATTCAGAATGATCCAGTAAAAGATCAGAGTGCTTCTGGCTTTGAGGGGCAAGAAAAGTGTAAAGAAGCAAGAAGAGAGTTGGAGAAGTCGACAGGTAAAGACACAACACAAAGCATTAGAGGAGAGTAACTATTGATTTAAAACAAGGAAAATCCTTCTCATAATTTGAACAACCTGCCAATGGAGTTGGCTGCCCACCCTGCCACTGGCACCAGGAGGGACACTCCGAGTTCCCCTGAGCAGACAGATGATCCTGAAGAGTTCTGAAAGGAACACTGGGCTTCCCTTTGCCAAGCTAAACTGGATTCTTAAAAAAAAAATTAATACCCAGTAAAAGTGATGACAAACATAAAGGCTTTAAGGATGTAGTGCTTTTTATGCCGCTTTTAAAAAAAGAATCAATGAACTATAATATTTAAAACTACACATTTACTATATTTGGTTATTTTGAATGTCTAGCCAGACAGTTTTGAAATGTGCTAAGGGAACTACAATATCTTAAGAAACGCTAGCTTCTCCTTAAATTAGAAAGAACGTGCTGAAACTGCCACAGACAGGCCAGCTTGAGCCTTTGCTTTGCCAATCATCATTTTACATTACTCTGTTGTCTTTTGCGGTGACAGAATGACAATTCCATCAGTGGAAGGAAATTTCCCGAAAGGTCAGTAAGGAAAGCAGAAAAGTACTGACACAGCTTCTGGGCTCCACAAGGAAATGTCAACGGGCAAGTTTTGTTTAGAGTGGGCATTACTATAGTTGAATATTATATGACAGGTCATTATTAATCCTGCTTTGGTCCTATGTCAGGACTTGTTCATGTTTCAATTTTACAAGCAGAGACTGATTTTTATTTCACAAAGCAATTGCATAATAAATATAGAAACACAATAACAATGATAGTGATGTGACTCAGGTGGGTTAAGGATGCCAAACAAATCAAGACAGAGGAATTTAAATCAAAGAGATCTTTGCACTGAGTCAAAGATGACCACAGATGGAAAATTTATAATTTTCCTGTTAATTGGGCAAAAACAGATAACACAAAAAAAGGATTTAAGGAAAAAAGATGATGACAGTCAATTTGATAAGTCTCAACCTCATTCGTGTATCTCAGATTTAGAAACAATCCAGATTTTTAAAATAATCATAAGAGCTGGAGGATTTTAGGGGCAAAAATCATAATGGGTTGGGACATATAAAGGCTTAACCAGAACCTGCTTCTGGAATCTTGGTGGCTTTTGTCTCACTTGGAAAAACTGGCCATAGAATTCCCAGGGCCTTCATTCCTTTGAAAACTGACATGGTCTCAAAGCTGACCAAAGCTGGCTTGGTTTAGGATGGCATTGGTTTCAAATTTAAGCTCATTCAATTTAACATTGTACTTGACAATGACTAGCCAAATGGTAGGATGATGTTTCCATAAGTAAAATAAGTCCCAAATGTCTGCAAGTTCAACCAGCCAAATAGATAAGAGATCAATTTGTAAGTAAAACTCTGACATCAAAGACACAGAGATGTACTGGTGGGACATTTATATTGGTAAAGTACAACCTTGTCCCATTTTATGGTTTGGAATGGAGTGGCTCATAGCATTTGGGCATCACTTTAGTCAGATATCGTCTTGTGTATGCTTGGTCTAATTGCTTAAATTCTGACAAGGAGTCAAAATAGATAGTTAGAAAAATAGTAAAAATAAACCAACACTGTTGAAGAGTACTCGACTATTGGAGAAGAAAAAAAAACACTTAAAATTGATCAATTGTATAATTTTTTTCTCATTTCTATTTTTTTCTCTATTTTCATATGCTTCTCTACTTTCAGACAAAGAACTACAAAGATCACTATTGAAATGATGTCGACGTCCAGGCCACACACCCAGTGGTTGCTATGTACAGGCTTGCTCCAGTTTCATAAATCTGCTCACTCCAAAACAACGTGAACTCATTTACTTCTATTCTCCAAAGTCCTGATTCAGTTTCTAGGGAGAAGTCTTAAAATATTTTTTTTCAATTTTTATTTATTTTATGATAGTCACACACACACACAGAGAGAGAGAGGCAGAGACACAGGGAGAGGGAGAAGCAGGCTCCATGCACCGGGAGCCCGACGTGGGATTTGATCCTGGGTCTCCAGGATCGCGTGGGCCAAAGGCAGACGCTAAACTGCTGCGCCACCCAGGGATCCCTAGGGAGAAGTCTTAGAGGGTTGTGTACTACTTAAATTTGCAAGTTTCTTTTTCACTGTTCAACAACACAATGGAAGGTAAAACAAAGCACAGAGGACAAGCACCCCCCGCCCCCCACCCCCAGCAAAGGAATTTGTTAATTCTGCAAAAGTTAATTGAGCCTGGCATTTGCCAAGCACCCAGAGCAAGACATCAGGGATTCAGAGATTACTAACACATTGCCCTCAAGGGGATCGCCGGCACCCAGGGATTTTGGTGCAATGAAAGAAATGCTAACTACTCCATTAAGGGAATGTTCTACCAATCTCCTGGGACCAGAGCAATCTCCAAGACAGATAACTTTATTTGTTGGTGACAGCGTCCTGTCAGCAGGTCAGCGGCTTGCCACCTACTTCACTGAGAGTTTTGGGTGAATTCATTTAAGAGTGTCTGCAAAGCAATTGCAGCTCTTTAGAATTGTCATTCTTGTGGCCCCAGCGTAATGATGGCAGATGCCTGTGTACTCGGGAAGATCAGGAAGCAGAGCACTTTGGTTAGTTCAATGACGGCCTTAACTGATAATGATCAGATGGGCCGTTGTGGAGGACTGAAGTTCAGAGACACAGAACACACACTCTTTCACGGCTGCTTTAGAACCACTTTAGCATCTTGCTCTGCTGGGAGGCAATCGTATCATGCAATTCTAAACGCAGCCCGGAGGCTTGAGTGGCCTTCCCTCCGTCTCTGCTTTGTCCTTTGCTCATTTGCATCCTGCTTCCAGGTCTTTTCTAGTCCAGCTCAAGCCTCCATATCCATCTTGCCTGACTTTTTCAGCCCCTGGCATCACTTACTGCACTTTTAACTCGCATGTGAATGTCTTGGTCACCTCTACTCTCTGATCTCCTCTTTGATAACCGGACTCGGGCCTCATGTCCCAGAACACTTCACACAACGTCCTGCTCACGGTGGATGTTCAACATCCGATGCTGCATAAAAGAAATTATCATTGTCTAAGATAAATGTACTTGAATGACTAAGGTTCATATATTGTCTTTGGTAAATACACCTTTCTTTCCTTTCCTAAAACTAATCTGATATTATTTTCAACTCTCTAAAATAGGTAACAAGAGTAAAAAGAGACATAATCTATGAGTGTATCCATCATTTGATGTGATGGCCCACATGCAGAGAGAGAGTCAACAGAGACTTTGGGTAAAAAGTAGAGTGTTTCAAACAACAGGTAATTAGTAGCAATGAGGTGGCTTTTTAAAAATGTGAAGCTTACTAGTTTTCTTCCCTATTGCTTCAAGAACCTGTATTTCACCAAGCAGTTTATTGTATAATTGCTCATTTCTTTAATTAGCAAGCCATTTAATTAACACACGCTTATCGAGGGTTTGTTATGTGTAAGGATCTGCTCTAGCAAACGTGGAGAACATAAAAAAAAAAAAAAAAGAATAAAACGCCCTCAAGTGTTGTGAGCGTAAGGATGGTAGATTAGAAAAAGGCACTCGGTAGCAAGCTATGAGGTAAGGAGTGGGCAAGTGATATTTAAGAAAGTAGTTAAGAATGTATAGGGAGCAGTGGTCAAATTCGACCAGGAACTTCATGTTGTACATTTCACAAAATGTTTGTTCTATAAATGAATGAATGGTAGGAGGGCATAAGCTGGAAGAGGATGCTGAGACCAAGTGGCCATGGGCTCTGAATTCAACTGTCTATTGCTAAAACGGGAAAAGCATTGATTTAGGAAGATTCATTTAGCAACAGTGTTCGGGATAGACAGAAGAAAGCAGAGCCAGGACAGATATTTGGTAGCTGTGGTGAAGGGCCAGCAGGAGAGAGCCCGGAACCGTTGGTGCTACTGAGGAAGAATCAGGGACAGG